TACCACACATTTTCATTTCTGCTGTCTCCACAGACAATCATGTTTGTATTCTCACCCGCCCGCATTCAGTTTATTTTTATCCATACCCAAACCCATGAATTTATGTAAATGTACTCGGTAACACTTTCTATGAAGACCGTAATTATAATGCTTTATGAGGGCTTTTATTGCGAATTTTAATTCACAATTTATAATGATCTATGACTGCACACTTAATGCTTCCTGATGCACTACATCAGCAGTCATAAAACATTATAGATGTGACTTATAATGAATTATAAGTGTCTTATGGATGCTCTTGACTAGTTATAAACTAGAGGTTGACTGATGGGGCTTTTAATGCATTGTTGACAGAAATTACTGCAACCTCTGAAACCCCCTGTTAATATGCTGTATGCTATAGCTAGCTAGCTAACCACTGTAGGAACATTAGCTACTGGAATGTTTGCTAGTAGCCTACGAGCAAACTGTATGTTTCAGCTGAAGCCCGCTAGCTTCAAAAATTACACCATGTAACCATTTATATGAGTGGAGATAAAATCTTGAGCTGAAATGTGCAGTTAGCTCGTGGGCTATTGCAAACATCTCAGTTGCTAATGTTAGCTTTCAAGCAACCTTGTTTGAAATGGGGAGAGTGGTTATCTAGCTAGCTAACCAACCGCTGTAGGGACTACTTGCTAGCTAATGGTAGCTACTGGAATTTTTGCTAATAGCCTATGAGCAAACTGTATGTTTCAGCTGAAGCCTGCTGGCTTCAAAAATTACTTAATGTAACGTCAACCATTTATATGAGAGAAACTAGAAATCTTTAGCTGAAATTTATTGTTAGCTTGTTAGCTTGCAGACATCTCAATAGCTAATGTTAGCTTTCAAGCAGCCTTGTTTGAAATGGGGAAAGTGGTTAGCTAGCTAGCATAAAGTATGCTCCCTAGGATTTCAAGGGCTGCAACCATTTCTGTCCAATTTTGTCTTTTTTGAAGCTAACAATCTTGCAAGTAGTGACTCAGTTTTTGCAATAGCTTAATTCTGTGACTGAAAACTCTGTGACTCATGACACATTGTGTTAAGATGTGACAGGGTGTCAGATTGTAGTCTTTTCAATGTCTTTTCAAAGTATTCTAGCGTATAATAGACATTAATTACTTATGATGCATCATAGATTCTTCAATACATGAAAATGCATCACACTTTATTCAGCACCAACCGTGGAACATTATGATGAAGCGTACATTATTATTGATGCATCAATATGTACCTCACTCTACTTAACACAATATAATGATAACTTATGATACTGCATGGACATACTAAGAGTCCTTACTATAGTTGAATGTTGAGGTGAGTTTAGGTATTCGCTATAAGCCCCATCAGTCAACCTCTAGTTTCTGATAAGCCTAGAGCATCCATAAGACACTTACAATTCATCATAAGTCACATCTATAATGTTTTATGACTGTTGATATAGTGCATCAGGAAGCAGTCTGTGTGTTTATGAGTATAATTATAAAGCTTTATAAATGCATTATAATTATCTTTGAATGGTCTTAAAATGCATTATAGACGTGGTTTTCATAGAAAGTGTTACCATGTATTCCCTACCCTTTACACAACTTTATTGCTGGTTGTCCTACAGGTACCTGACTCAGTTCATGACTCTGCCTACAACCAGTCAGAACAACAAAGCATGTGAAGTAGTGCTGAGCGATAGAGAAATGTAAACAGACTACAGCATTTAGAGATGAGCTGTGATGGTGTAGAGACAGTCTGTTAACAAGTGTTGCCGTTTTTGCCATCAGAATTTGAATATAGTGCTTCAATAGAAAGGTCCACATCAGCTGCTGCCATCTTGGTTGTGTTTTTGAAAATGATCAACAACACTCCTCTTTACTAAGCTACCTTTATGCTTGCTGTCGTGACCATGGCGTGGTGATATAGGAGCCAAAAATCACGTCATGTTTTTCACAAAGTGCGAAGGCCCCACATGCTGTCTTTCACTGTATCAAATATGCCCCATGTTTAAAAAATGGTTATGATTGGCCCGGCTAAGTTGGATGGAAATCTCTTTGAACAGGAGGGTGACCAGGCACATCTGCCAGGGCAAATAAAACATGAGCTCGCAAGTTTGTGTAGTTCCCAGGCTAGAAAAGATGAGAAATTGAATCCAGATAGTTGCTGTAAAACTGCAAGGCTACACTTTGTTGTTTATAATTTGTCCCCTAGTGTTTTTGCTCTGTTTTGGGAGATAACCATATTGCAGGGAAGTGCTGCTGCCCAACATAGAGGTGCACTGATGTGAGAAATTGTGTTTTTGGAGCAGCCCCACAAGTTGACGTCGTTGGTCTCTGGTAGGAGGGAGTTTAAGCATGCACATGCCCAGTTCTGTTGGCACTCTGATACTGATCTGACCAGCGCAGCAGTCACGCTGCCACACATCACGTGGCTCCGGTGAAAAGGGGGGCTAAATCCAACAGCTTGTTTATGCAGTTCTGTATTTGTGACCCATTGTGATTTTAAAAACTGGGTCATAATATCACTTGGAGCAAATGAAAAAGGGGAAAGACGACTGAAGCGAGATGCAGTCAGGCTGAATATTGGACCTTGTCTGGAAGGATGACTTCTCTACATGTTGGTGATGCTTCCGCTTTACTAATGTACCTCTGACTGTTTTTGGAGCCTGTCATGTTTTACCGTTGCCTCTCTGCTCTGTTTGGCAAAGTTAGTCTGAGAACACAGTGGCGCAAGGGAGCGAGAAGGCGGTGAGTAAAGGATTTGTGGATTGATCATTGAGCAGGTTGAGTCCTCCTGTCCTCTTTGAACCCTAGCAGGATCCCTCTGGTTAAACACAATCTTGTAAAAACAAAACAACATGCAAACAGCCCCTTTGAAGAAGAAGACTTCTGCTTTGTGGAGCCACAGGAGCTGTGTTTTATCCTCATCATTAATTGGTTCCAGATTGTAGAATTTGCTGAGTCGGACAAAACAGCCGCATGTTTGCATTTTCAGCTTGGCTTAAAGTGACGTGCTACCAGTGTGCAAGGCTCAAAGTTTAGCTGTAAAGGTTTGAACGCTGCCAGTCTCCACTAACATTTGTCACCTGGCATTCGTGCTTAAACTTTCTGTCTGAAGCTTTTGTTTTTTGGCCCTCAGGTGTGGGGAGTCTCCAGCGGACACCCAGCCAGCGCAGTACCATGATCTACCAAAGAAACAACTATGCTCTTAACACCGCAGCCACCTACGCTGACCCATATCGCTCGGCGCAGTACCGGCCCTCCGATCCCAGCTACACTCGCCAGGCTGTTGTCATGGACGATGGTGCTACCCGCTCACCCTCTATAGACAGCATTCAGAAGGATCCCAGGTAAGTAATATTTTAGTGTGATGCTGTGTAGGTGTAATCAGTGGTTAGTGACCAGCATAGCATAGCATAGCAGGAAACAGTCATCCAAAGGGACTACTTATGCTTACAAGGCATCCCTGTTCTGCTGGGTCAACACCGGTGTCCTCTTACTATTCAAACATGGAGCCCCCTGGGTAGTCGCATGCAGCTCTAGCTTTTAAGCTGCCTCTACTATGCCTGGCCTCTGAACAATAGACTCTCACATACGCTAAAGTGCTGCGTCCACTCTTGTACAGACGTGTAAGCGTGGAGAGTGGGTTGACCTCCACTGTAAACCCCTGACCTTGCACACTGGGAGCTTTGTTTACACCCTTGTATGTTGCTGTAGTGTAACTACTTGAAGAGAGTACAGCAGGGGGGCACCATGACCCAGGTCCGTTCAGGAAGTGCATCAGAGTGATAAAATATGTTACGGGATTTCTGTCCAGGGCTGTGTTTTTTTTTTTGTTTTTTTTTTCCAGCTTTGTGCTGTGATATACTCTAGACTAAAAGAGTTTGACCAGCCTGTAATAGCATAAGGGCCACAAATCAAACACTAGTAAAATCATTTCATCAGTTAGTTTCAGATACTTGTAGGTAGAAAAAAATGCTGATAAGTAACATGCCAGTCGAAATGCAACAGTATATTTTATTGACTTTAGCGTGCCAAAAGTAGTTCCTATTTCAAGTATATTTCAAGAGCAGCCCAGAGTCGATGCTTTTCTCACTTCTTTCTTTAGTGTGCTGCATACAGACAAGCAGTAATCCAAGTGTGACCAGAGTGGATTGTTATATAGAACCGGATGTGAATGTAATTTCCTGGGCTTATCAGTTTGTCCTGAGGTGCTGAAATATTCATTTTGAAGGGAACTGTGCCGGTGTTTTTTTTACGGAGACAACTTTGTTTCTGCCTCTGTCGTCATGCTGATACCTTTGCACCCTACCTGTAATTTTAGGGAGTTTGCTTGGCGTGACCCAGAGCTGACGGAGGTGATTCACATGCTGCAGCACCACTTCCCGTCAGTGCAGGCCAACGCAGCCGCCTACCTGCAGCATCTGTGCTTCGGCGATAATCGAGTGAAGTCTGAGGTAGGTGCCGTACCACTCACGCCATACTGTGACTTATTAGAATGTCATTGTCGACATCTGTGCTCAGCCACCTTAACCTCTGATAATTAGGGAACATTAAGCTCATTTTTGTGTTTTCATCAGTAAGTATTATATTTATAGGGGAGCTGGCGTTTATTGCAAGTTAGGACAACAAGCACAAGTTTCCAGACTGTCAGACAAGACTTAAAGAAAAGCCCAAGAAGGTAATAGAGTTTTACTTGGAAGAGAAAACAAAGGCAAACAACTAAAATAACAACCCAAACTGTTCGTCGTCAATGTCCATCACAGTCTACAGACCAACATTGTGGTTTAAGCTAGACCTTTCATATTTGCTGTAGTTGTGCACAACAGTACAGCTCACTTTCAGTTTTACCGCCCAGTAATGTGGTGACTAACCTGCCAAGTCGTCTGGCTAATCTCAGTCTTGCTTGTTGCATGATAGGGCCTATTTTCAGTGCTCTTGCCTGACTCCAAGACCCAAGACATTACTTTGGTCAGTCAGTGTTTTCATATCCAATCAAACTGATGGCCAGAGTTAAGAAAATAAACCCAGAGTTGTTGGTCAGGATCCATCACTTTGATCCAAGCTGAAATATTTTAACAACTATTTAAAGGATTAAGAAATAACTGTTGACTGTACAGACATTCATGGTCCCCAGAGGATGAAGCCTCGACTGTACGTTTGCTGCATTTCCACTGCATGACACAGCACAGTTCTACTCAATTCGACTGGCTATTTTTGGTTTGCCATTAGCAAAAGTTGTGGATAGTATCAGGTACTTTTATGGTATCACCTTGGTCGAGGTTCCAAGCTGAGCTGACACTAGAAGGTGGAGTTAAAACGCTTAAGGCCACTGATTGGTCAAGAGAGAACGGTCTCTAGGGCAACATGAGACATCCTGCACAAACCCCTCATTTTTACATAGCCAAGCTCCTCCTGTCAGACCTTTTACACACACTTCCACTAATAAAATTGGTTTCAAGTTTCAAGTACAATAAAGCATTGTTCAACCTTCTGTTTTCATTCCTTTAAGGCTCATTGTAACTGATAATAATAGTAATTGTGAAATATGGTATACTTAAATGCAATATTATCTGAGACATGTATTGTACCGTGAAAATCTCTTACCGTTGCAACTCTAGCTGCAATTTTTTTATTCACTCGGCTCCAATTTTAGAAAATGGCAGCCCACAAAACTATGCCATACACCATACAAGTGCAGACATTCCTCTGTTTGATTGGCAATGAAAGGATTCAGCAAGTGTCATGTTAAAGATGATGTCATGGCCCTTTTCACGCACTGTCGCTATGGCAATCAGCTGAGACTCCCGTCTACTATCTGCGGTAGAAAACGAAATAGAGAAAAGGACCTGGTACCAACAGTGAGGTGACTCAAGCGAAACCATGCAGCTGAAATGAGCCAATAGACACAGAGACACATCTCCACTGCTCAATCATGCCCTCAGCCAGTGAACAAACACCCGCAGCACACAGCAACAGTTAAGAGAGACACACAGGAATCCCTCGTTCCACCCTTTTTCTCCCACAAATTTTAAAGGTCATGCTTGTCCTTCCTCAGCATAATGCAGAAAGAGGAAGAAGACATCAGAGATGAGGAATATATTTTTTATTCCAAGAGGCCAGATTTCAACGTATCACAAAATGATTTATACTCTGCAATGAAAAGCAGGAAGCTTATTTTGGTAGAGCTATCTTTTCCTGGTACGTTTCGTTCTACCCTCCAGATGAAAATGTTAATTTAGTCTTTTAACATCTCCTCTGGTGAAGGTTTTTTTTCTTTGGTCATATATTAGCATTACTTTTCCAAATAATTTGAATCTCAGTATGAATAAATCACCGTGCATAGATTCTCTTGTCACATGAATAAATACATGATTTTGCGTTCCGCATTATATAAGCTGAAAAAAAAAAGCTGTTAGTGGTCAAATCCTTTTCACACCTGATCTCACTTACATTGTCCATAGGTATGTCGACTGGGAGGAATAAAACATCTGGTGGACCTACTAGACCACAAGGCCCTGGAGGTTCAGAAGAACTCTTGTGGCGCTCTGAGGAACCTCGTATATGGGAAGGCTATGGACGAGAACAAGATTGCTGTGAGGAATGCAGGAGGTATCCCAGCTTTGCTCCGCTTGCTGAGAAAGACTGTAGATGCAGAAGTGCGGGAGCTTGTCACAGGTAAGTCAGCATGTGTGAAGGATATACTATGTGCTCTTTAAAACTGTGAGGTGAATTCTGAGCTTGAAACTTTCCCCCCTCATCTTTGAGGATGTGTGCTTGTGGTGTTCATACTGTCTCTTTATCCCTCCTTCCCACTGTTACATCCCTCCACATAGTGACGATAATGCTCCTCCATCTGGCATGAAGTGAAAGCAGAAGTACACTTCCTGTCATCTAGGGCAGCTTCAACCAATTATTAATGTCATTATCGGTGAATTTAATTAATTTAAAAGAAACACTTCACTCATAAAATGTCAGTTTGTATATCAATTGCTCACCCTGTGCTACACTGAATTTGTGAAGAAAGGTTTTTTTTTCTCACATGCTTCCATGGTGATGGAAGAATCCAAAAAAGGCAAACATTCTTGATGAATTGAAATAAAAGGGGACCATGTTTAACACCAGAACTATATCAAAATATCAGTTTACAAACTCTCACTCACCCTGTGCAGTATAATCCAATTCATTTATCCAGCTTATACACAGTACTTTCCAAACACATGCATTTATGCTGTGTAAAAAACTTCCCTAAGGGAGCCTGGACTAGAGCTGCCTTGCATTGAAAGGGAACAGTTGAGGTGGTTCGGACATCTTATTATGCTGGTCCTGGGCCAGAGTCAGAGGTTTTCTGGGCACATTCAACTATTAGGAGAACCTGGGGTTGTTCCAGAACTTGTCAGAGGGATTATGTATGTCATCCAGGCTGGGAACGCCACAGGGATTCCCCAGGAGGAGCTGGAAAACATTGCTGGGGAGAGGGATGTCTGGAGTACCTTGCTTTGCCTACTGCCCCCATAACCCAGTCCCCAATAGGTGGATGCATGAATGGATGGATGGATGTTTAGAACAATGTCTGCATTTTTTCACTGCTATATTAATTTGAAAGGTCATGGAAAATTACTTTTTAGACTCCCTTCAACACAGAATTTAAGTAGCCATAAACTACAATGGACTTACTGATGGTTACTGATAAACTTGTGCTACAATTTTGTGACCTGTGCCACAAAACAACCTCTGTAGCACCAGTGCTGCGTGTAAAATAAGTTTATGTACAGCCCTATCAAGAATGTTTGCCACTTTTGGATTCCTAACTCACCGTTGAGACATGACAAATGGTCATTTTGTGGGTGAAATTTTACTTTGATCTATAAAATTTTCAAAAATATTGGAGAAAACACACATTTTGTTTTCCCAGATTTCAAAGTTACATCTCTGTATTTTTTCTGTCTTTTTTCAAACAGCAGGCCAAAATGGAAATATATTAATTTACACTCTTGCCAAGCAGATAAAAGTAGCAAATCTCTACATGTAAAAGGCTGGAATCAGAGAGTGTTTGATATTTTTGCTTGGTAAATAACTTAAAACAGCTATGAATGATATTTCTATTATATCAAAATCAAATGATAACGTGAAAACAATGGGACAATGTGAAGGGAGGTGCTTGTAGTGATGAACCTGCAGAGAGTTGTCGTCTGAATCTGCAGCCCCCCTCGGCTTTATTGAGTTTTGTGGAGAGTTTCAGCTCATTGTTTAGCTGTCCAGCCTGAAGCATTGTTGTTTGATTCAGTCTCACCCTGCTCATAGAGAATCACATCCTTAGGAGGTCTGTCGTGGGGTTACAGCAGGACAGGAACATTGTCTAGGAGGTGTTGAATTATTAACCTGACAAACCTTGAGGAGTTTTAGGTGGGGTTGTTATTCTACAGTGATGGTTTGGTTGCTTATGAGTCTTGAATGTGGCTCATGGTTACCTGGTGCTGCCTGTCATGGTTAACAGTACAATGTTGCTAGTAGAGATTACGCGTGAATTAAGATACTCTGACTAAACAGTTTAACAGACTGCTTACTGTCATTTACATAATTAAAACTGTCATAGAAACTGAGTCATTGAGGCTTTTCCTTAAGTTGCCACCACTGCTGTCACTCCAGCTTATGATATATGCAAAGAAATGAAACCACATTTCCACAGGATTCATATGCTTTTATTACTGAGGCTGCGGAGAGATTTAGCCCCGTCTCTGTCTGAAAACAACTGTTCCTGACAGTCTGCTTGTCAGTCTCCTCCTCTCTGTGTAGCTCAGTTGTATTTGTGTGTTGTCTAAGCTCTGCAAACAGCGTATAAATCCATGTTGTTTAGGATCAGGGTGGAGCACTACAGAAATAAGCAATCCAAGACATTTGGCTCCCAGGTGGCTGAGTCAGCTGCTTGAGCTCGAATCCAGCCCTCGTTCTAATACGGTCTCGGGTTACAGTCCAGCGGTCCTTCGAAGGAAAACAATACAGTCAGAGTACGAGCTCAACAGATTGAAGGAGATTGTCTTCAGTTTCCTGTTTCACTTAACTGCCTGTTTACTTTGTATAATACATAAACAAAGGATCAACATTTCCAAAGAGCACAAGAGTATAATTTGTCTTCTAATTTGTGGTCTATGTAGTGAAGTAAACTGGAGTCAGTGGCTGAAATTCCTTTCATTGCCTTCATTCCAGGGCTGGGTATTGGTGCTAAATAACATTATCACAATAACTGCTTCCATACTGATCGATATTTTTCACAATATAGAATTTAATAATGCTGCAAGTCTAAAGAGTATCCTGATAATGACAGAAGACTGATGGAACAACTGGATTCATTAGTTAATCTTTAACATATAGTTCATTTAAAATAAAGTAGAATAAAATAAACATTAACCGAGTTCAGCAATGGGTTGCCCACTTCATGTAAAATTCTGCCTTGGAGGCTTTTCCACCTTGACCAGATCACAGTTCTCTGATATAACAATGAATACTTACTGTGAGCATGTTCAAAGATATTTAACATTGTGCAAAATATTGACAATCGGCAGCATCAGTTCAAAAGAATCTGTATCAGGAAATGTCTGGATAAATGCACATGTAATGACAGTGAGAAGTAGTTTGACTGAATGTGGAAAAACTGAGACATACTGTTGAATTTGCACCTTATTTCTTAAGACATCTCAGGCTGTTTTGTCAAAGGATGAAAGTCTGCCGAATGTACCTGTAATTCTTTACGCAAAAAAAGGAAAACTATTGGAGCTGATGTCACTCATAGGTTATTGTGTAATAGCTTTATTGGTCCAGCCCATCTAAGATTAAATTGTGCTGTATATGGCCCATGAGTTTGCACCCCTGGTTTAGAAGATATTTTATGACAATATATTGGAAAAACATCTAAATGTAAACATTTATCTTAACAAAAATGCCACATTTCTTCAAGTTGTGTTCGACTTCTGTGGGTGTTTGAAAAATTTCATACTGTCTCCCTTTGGTTGCATTTATGGATAATGAGAGTTTTCTTCACTGATGCAAGTAAAATATCCTGAAGTAGAGAAAGGCAGAGAAAGAGGCAACAGACTGGCTCTGATCCTGTTTATTTCTGCTGTGTCACAGGCTCAATTTATATTGAGAAAAACTGTCAAAGTTTATCATCTTTAAAAACAATTTTATCGCGTCCACTATCAAGATCGTTTTATCACCTAGCTCCACTTGGCACTCAATACCTTTAAGGTATCTACTGAATAACCCAGAACCAAATAGTATTGAAACTTGTTCAGTCAAATTAAACCTGCATTCGATCCTTTTTGTATCCACATTCAGAACAAAATGATTTTATGTTTAGTATGCAAGCATTCTTTGATTTAATGCAATGTTTGATTGGCTCACTACCACAGCAGCTACAACCTATACAGTCTGTGTGATGAAGTCAAACGTGGTGTATTTGACAGAGTTGGCAGTTCATCATGCAGAGATGCTTTAATGTGGGCTCTGTTTTTAAGTTTTTCCCCTTTCATCCACCAGCCTGAGAGCCTGCTGCGGCTAATTGGTAGGACAGACTCCAGGGTGGGGAGCAATTAGAAAAGGTCAGAAGTGTTGCATCACCTCTGGTTAATTACGGCTGATGAGAACAATCCACATAAAGAGCTTTCAGCTGGATGACAAGGGCATCCCACACTGAAGCTTTAAGGGGAGCAGACACAAATCATTCACTCACCAGCAGCTCCTTTCTACACGGGAGCTGGTGAGGAGGCCAGCCAGGTGTCAGAACTTAGCGTCGTAATTCCCATTCAGCGGCTCCATCTCCTCTGTGCTGGGAGGTCCAAGTGTCACCTGTGCTTCATTAGAAGTAGCTGCAACGACAGGCCACCCCCTGCTTCAGGTCAGAGGTCGTGTTGTGGGGACACACAAAGGGATACCTGCCTGGTCTCCCAACAGCTGCTGTGGTTATTGCTCTGTCCTGAAACAGCCCCACAGATCGGCCAAAGGCCAAACCTCAGTGCACTGTCGTTGTTGTTTTATTGTTTTTTGCCTTTTTCTGTCTTTTCTTCCTCCGGCAAGCACTTTGTAACCTTGTTAAGAAAAGTGCTATATAAATAAAGTTTATTATTATTATCATAAGCTGCAGTACTGCAGACATCTGAAACAACACACACACACACACGCAATGTTTTGTTCCTCTTTGTTAGATATTGCCTTGCTCCACTTATCTTGGCTTTTCTTTCGCAAACTTAACTCCACTCTTTATCATGATTTCATTGTGTTTGAGCTTTGGAGAGTCTGTATGTTGACCTTAGTACGACAGAGTGTATTCAAAGGTAATTCTTTATTCTTACAGAAAAGTATTTTCGTCATATAAAAGGAGTCACTCATACAGGAGATGATTGATTTGGCTGGTATACACTCACCGCTTCATCCAAACTCCTCATCTGCTGCTAGAAAAGACAAATCTCTGGATCTAGTTTGGTTAGGCAATAAACAAAAGAAATCCCTTATCTCCTCTTACATATAAAAAAGAACTCAAGCTAGTGTTATTCACTGTCTCCCCCTGTACTGCTATCACCTGCAACTTCACTGCCGTCATACTGAAGTTTGTATTGTCTTTGTTTCTGTTATTACTGTAATAACTCAATAACTTCCCATTCTGCTGTGGGGATTACGAGCTG